TCTGCTCGGCCTACAGGGTTTAGCTAGCAAGCTTCCATCAACCCTTTGTAGAGCGCTTCACCCCTGAAATGACCATCTCCTTACTGTTCTCTTGGAGTGGAAGTCCCCCTTCTTGGAGTGGGTAGGAGGTTGGGGAAGGAGAAGCGAGGAGGGAACTGTGGAGTGTGGTCTTGTTCCCCGCTGCTGGTGAGTGTAGACCAGGGTGACAAGGCAGTGACAGAGACCGTGCAGGAAGGAAGCCTCTTTTTATCTCCTTACCATGGGAGTGGCGGCTCTCTTCATGGGCCACAAATTGTTTTTCTCCCCCGTTAGGAGCCAGGTTTCCGGAATCAAATTTCTCATTAAGTATCAGTACCCCAAAAGTTAACCAGCACCATCAAAAACCTGTTGACAGGCTGGAAGGCCTGGGACACCGAGACAGCCTGCTGCAGAATTTAGAGCCTCAGGAGGAACCAGAGGGAAGGGTCCAAAGGGTCTGAAGGGAATCCACTCAAGAGGACAGGAAGGTCATCTACAAAGCGCCGCTCTGGACCGCCAGCTCAGCCCGCTTCATCAGTGTTATGGGAGGCCTTATCGCTCCTCCCAAGGAGATAAACACACGAAGGTGAGCAGGCAGACCACTGCTCAAGGCCCGCTAGGAAAGCTGGCTTCTCCAACCTGCTGCCGCAGTCAGACCCGAGCCTCAGATGGTCTCTCCCAGTAAGGCTGCTTGGCGCTTGACAGTGTATAATCAGGAGGTTCCTCCCTGAGAGGCCTGTGGGAGGTGGGCAGGCAGCCAGGACAATCCCAGAGAATGCCGCGTGCCACAACTGTCAGGCCTCAGAACCCATGATGTAATGCCTCTCCAGGGGCCAAGGAAAACAAGCCCGCTGTTGTCACTGCCCTCCCAGCAACTGGGCACTGCCCTCCCCATGGCACGGCTGTTCTGCGTAATTACGAACCCACTCGCTCTCCTTGGGAGGAGGAAATATGAAAACCTTTGTTGTCACGTAAAAACCAACCCAAGATAGGAGAACTGTCTTTTAGATACATCTTGCTGTAGAGGGATTTCCATAGCAACTTCAGAAGTGTGTGTATACTAGAGATAAGTCCAGGCTGATGAAAGCCACCTGGAATGTGAACAGGCTCTGGGCATCAGCAGCTGTGGATTTTTCTAGAACCTGTCATGATGCTGTGTGACCCTGGGCAAGTCACTTACCCTCTCTGATGCCTAAGGTGATAGAATCATCATCAGATCAGGCTGAGAGATATCAAGGTCATCTTGTCCACACCACCCTGGTCTGATGCTTCAGTTCCCCGAAGCTTCCCCTGCTTCTCGCCTCTGTCAGTCTCTGGCTGAGTAAGGCCTGCCTCAAGGTCTCTGCCAATCTTATTATTTGACATTGGGAAAGACCATGATCACTTAAACTTGATTCTAAAAATATTGCTTAGTCTTTGTAAGAGAAGTGCTTTGCCTGTTTAGGAATCAATATTATTAATAGGGCAGATTCCTGGGAAAGAGTCTCTGAGATGCTGAGATTTGGGCGTGGGAGTTTTACTGGGGCTGCTCTCAGGATCAATACCTGTGGGGTATAGGGGAAGCTCCCTGGTGCAGTGGCAACAGGGCCCTTAGGCGATCCCTCAGGGACCCTGGAGTATCCTGTTAGAAGCAAAAGTGGCTGGGCCTTTGAACTCCCACCCTGACAGATTCCCCTGGGAGTTTGCTGCCCCCAGGCAAGGGGCTTGATCTTAAGAGAGGGCCTCGGTCACAGTCCCCGCTGAGGGAATGAGAGCCCGGCCCTGGAGGGGGCATCTGGTGACTCAACCCTCCATTCACTACGTGGATGTGTTTGAATTGAATATGAAGGCAGCCCGGGGCCTAGCACGATAACAGGGTAAAGACCGTTAGGCAGCGGAGGCAGGCGAAACAGCAAGACTGGGGTTCACATGTTGGTGTCAGTGGCCTGGAGACTCTGAGATCCGGCAAGTTGCCAGGAGAGTCGAGGCCATGATTTCCTTGTATGTGCAGGATTCAGCCTGGGCTGGTGGCACACACGTGAACTTCAGAGTCAGAAACGAGTTCAGATTCTGGCTCCACGCTTACTATTAATAGCTCTGTGACCTCGGGCCGGTTACTTTCGATCAGTTTCCTCAACGCTACCATGGGCCTTCATGTCCAATTCAAATACATCCACATGGTGGATGACACGTTGCTTCATCCGGATGCCCCTCCAGGACCCGGCTCTCATCCCTCAGTCGAGGTACCTCTCACAGATCCGTCGTGAGGGCACGCTGGGATGGCATGTGGATTTTACACAGAACTAGCACAGGGGAGCTACAATAGCATCCATCATGCTTTCATACACCTCATGTTATACCTAAGTCTTTGATCAAATGGCCATTTCGCAAGAGAAGGGAACATTCGGAGAATTTCCGATTTGCTCCTTGTTTCTCTGTGCCTTGGTCTCAGCTGGGGCTTGTGAGCCATGTCTGCAGAGAGAGAGAGAGAGAACGAGAGACCCAGCGGCCCACCGGCGGCCAGGGTAACCATTCTCAGCTTGGAAGCTATGGACAGCCATGCAACATCGAATAAGAGGCATCATCTAAGTACTGTGCAAACTACGTTCTTTAAAACAAGCTTTTTTCCCCAGGGAACATAGAGTCGCCCCTTCTTACGATAGGTTCGATAAACTATGACTCACTTGCAGGTACTTTGTTGCCTGTTCGGCCTGTTTGCACATCTGAAGTACATGCCAGAGACCATCTGAGGACGTGAAAGGCTTCAATAGCTTAAAGGGCTACACAAATTCCATTATTATTGTCAACAGACAACGTGGCTTCCATCAATTAGAAAGGAAAACAGGAAGAGTATAGGCCAGTGTATGGTCGAAGTTGGGCCGTCCTAATTATACGAAGGCAGCACAAAATTCCCAAGTGTTATCAAGGGATCTATGCTATTATTATTCATTTTCACCATGACTGGATTGCAATGCATAGTGCATATATACGACCTTGCTTGACTCTAATAAGAAGTCCTGTATCCGGCTTTCACATGCGAAAATTGAGGTCCAGAGAGGTGAAGTGATGGGCACGATATTGCTCAGCTAAGAGTGCCATGAGCGGTTTGGGGTCGGAACCCAAGCCCGTGCTTTCTCCATTGAGGGAAGAGTGTCTGCTTACCGGAGAAGGTTCGTGAAGCCCCGTGCAGTGTGGTCCCACTCAGAGTGGATGCTGCAATGTCAGCTGCTGAGTCATGGCGAGGTTCTGAATAGGGGAGCGTAGTGTGTCCCTGGGGCTCTGTGTGTGAGAAAGGTCTTCCAACACCGCACGGGCTCTCAGAGCCTGAACCTGCGTCCTGGAGGGCCCTTGTTTTGCGGCAGCAGAATGCCCTCCTCAGTTTGACCGTGTGTCTGCTGCCCAAAACGCTGAAAGAAATGTCTGCAAACAGAACGTCTCAAAACAGGGAGGAGATGTGGTTCAAGGCACCCATGTGGGGTGTGTTTAGACTACCTCCTCTCCAGGCTTGTCTTGTTTGGCCTCTGCCAGGACACAGGTACATGGAAGGTCTGGCGATATAATTACAAGTGTTGACGAATTAAGGGTGACTACCAGGATCTGTGTAAATTACAGGGGATGCTTTACCATACTTCCCAGCATAATAAAAATAATCGATCTCAAGTAAACACAGCTTCATTCTATCTCAAGTGATTCTCATTTTAAAATGAGGAAACTGCGGCCCGGAGAGCTTAAGTAACTTATCCTCGGTTTCACAGCTACTTAGGGGCAGAATCAAGGTTTCTAACCTAGATTTGGACGCACATATCAAATCAGATTAAAACGATATACAGGGCTGGGTGCAGTGGCTCACGCCTGTGATCCCAGAATTTTGGGAGACTGAGGTGGGTGGATCACTTGAGGCCAGGAGTTCGAGACCCCAGCCTGGCCAACATGGTGAAACCCCACCTCTACTAAAAACACAAAAATTAGCCTGGTGTGGTGGTGCATGCCTGTAATCCCAGCTACAGGGGAGGATGAGGCAGGAGAATTGCTTGAACCCGGGAGGCGGAGGTTGTAGTGAGCAGTGATTGAACCACTGCACTCCAGCCTGGACAAGACAGCGAGACTCTGTCTTAAAAATAAATAGATAAATAAATAAAATGAATATCCAGGACCCCTTGTGAGGGAGAAGAGTCACGAAAGGCAGCTCGAGGGTGGCGGAAGGAGGTAGCCTCAGTCCTACCCTTGAGTCTTGATGACGGCTTCCCCAGGGAGTTGGCATTTTGTTCTAGAGCCCTGGATCTCCAGTAGGTCACATCTCCCTTCTATCCCACCAGTAGCTTCTCTGAATCATTCCCAACCACCATCCTCCTAAAACAACGTTTCCCAAAGTATGTTCCATCAGTACAGTGCTTCTCAAACTAAGGTGCATATGAATCACCAGGTGACCTTGTTAAATGCAAATTCCGATTCAATCATTCCAGATTAAGGCCTGAGATTCTGGGAATTCTAACAAGTTCCCAGTGATGCCAATGCTGCTGGTCTGTGAACTAAACTTTGAGTAGCAAGGTACCAATAGCGCTTTATAATAAAAAGGATTTGCGAGCAAATACCATTGAGAAAGTCTGAACTAAACAAAAATAAACTGGTTTCATTACTGCAGGACTTCTCAGAGCCTTTAAAATGCTAATAAGCATTGTTAATCCCCAAGAGGGAGAAATTGTAACGTGGTATACGTGCATTAATGATGTAACCAAAATGCTCTGATATGTTGGTTTGCAAAGAGGGAACAGAAAATCAGGAAAATTCTGTGCCTTTTTCCCACCTTACCTTGGTTCCAATGCTGCAATTCCGGCTCATGCTCAACCCAACTCAGCACTCCCCGCTTTCCCACTGTCTCCTTCCAGGTGTCTGGGTACATGCCTGTCTCCTCCATCAGACCATATACCCCCTGGCACCCCTGCTCCTCCTCCCTTCCCTGTCCCAGCACAGGCTCTGCACTCAGAAGGCCCCAGGTGGACTACCTTTCACAGACGCGGACGGTCCAGGCAGCAATGATCCACAGAGAGATACTGAACACGAGCAGCACAGTGCCAGGGCAGATGGTCATGAGCGTTTTCATGACGAAGCGGGTGTTGAAGTTGATCTTGTTGAGGGCCCCGATGCTGCGGGATGAGGCATCAGTGAAGAGCTTGCTGTGCAGCAGCATGACTCGGGCGATCAGGTACAGGCGCAGGAACATGGGGATAGACAGGATGATGTCCACGTCGGCCTCCGCCCGGGAGGGTGTGTAGGAGAAGGCCAGGCGCGCTGTCCAGAAGAACTTGTACTCGCCAGGAATGGGGTGGATGGCGCACACCAGCATCTCCAGGCTGATGTAGAGGATGCGCTCGTAGGTCATGGCTATCCGCCAGTCATCCGCGCCATTGTCAATCACGAAGAGCTGGTGGGAGCAGAGAGTCTGTTAGTGTGGCCAGGACCCGGAGGTGCACAGCAGGGCCCAGGCAGGACAGATGGGGCAGGCTCCTGGGCTCAGGTCAGCCTGACCACCTCAGCATGCTCTTTAGAGGCCTCGCTGTGTGGCAAGAGCCCTGGATGGGGACTAGGAAGCCTGGATTCAGGTCCGGCTGGGAGGCCCTGGCTGAGACGCTTTGACTCTCTAGGCCTCACTTTCCTCCTCTGCAAATCGCTTCCCGAGATAGAGTGATTTCTAATAAGAAATCATACATTTGGTCTTCATCCTGCTTTAGGCACAGCTCCTAAAACCCTAGGAATTTCCAAAGTGGAGAGTGTCTTGTGTTTGCTAATCAGAAAACAAGTAAGTGTCTGGGGTGGAGGGTGGGAATCCAGGGTAGCTCCAGGATGGGCGCTGGTTGCCAGGGGAACCGATCTGGCGATGAGAAGGTTGGAACTTTCAGCCCCACCCCCCACTCCCTGGGCGGGAAGAGGGACCCGAAGCTTGAGTTGATCACCAGTGGCCAATGATGACATCAATTATGTCTGTGTGATGAAGCTTCCATAAAATCCCAAAAAGGCAGTGTTTTCGTTAACTTCTATTTTAGGTTCAGGGATGCATGCGCAGGTTTGCTATACAGGTAAACTCGTGTCGCAGAGGTTTGTTGTACAGATTATTTTGTCACCCAGGTACTAAGCCCAGTACCCAATAGTTATTTTTTCTGCTCCTCTCCCTCCCACTCTCCACCCTCAGTGTCTGTCATTCTCCCCTTTGTGTTTTGATGAGCTTCCAGACAGCTGGACACATGGAGGTCCCTGGACACCTAGAGGGTTGGGTTCCCATAGAGGGCATGGAAACTCCACCCCTTCCCACACACCCTGCCCTCTGCTTTGCTCCCATATGGCTGCTCATCTGAATCCTTTGTAAAGTCCTTTATAATAAAGCAGTAAATATGTTTCCCTGAGTTCTCTGAGCCGCTCCAGAGAATCAGTCAAGCCTGAGAAGGGCATCCTGTGAACCCCTGATTTACTGCCACTTGGTGAGAGGCTCAGGGCAAACAACCTGGGGCTGGTGACCGGCATCGGAAGGGGGGCCAATGTGGTGGGACTGAGCCCTCAGCCCGGGGGAGCCAACACTCACTCCTGGCAGACAGAGCCAGGGTGGAGTCACACTGCAGGACACGCAGCCAAATGTCCCCTGGAGAACTGCTTGGTGTGTGGGAACCAACCCCTCCTTTTTGCTGACCACAAGTGTTCTATGTTGAGCCACTTTCAAGGTTCCCTCCAGGACACAGGTGCCAAATAGGCTGTTTCACGATGGTGAGAATGATCAACTCATTTGTATTAAAAACACATCCCTGAGCCCCTTTCAGACCTGAGCTGAGCCCTGGAAGGGGATGTGAAGATGAAAAAGTCATGTTTCCTGCATGAGTGAACTCACAAGGGCTGGCACAGATTTCTCCTCCCCACTCAGAGAAGGGGCAGCAAGTGTTGGCTGGCAGAGCTGTGCTCTTAGGCGGCGCAGTGAAGTGTTCGTGGCACGGACTCCGGAGCCAGACTGCCTAATCCTAATGCTACTGGCACTGTGGTCCTGGGCAAGTTACCAAACCTCCCTGTGCCTCAGTCACCTCAGCTGGGGACGATGGTGATAACCGCCGCACGGAGGTCGCTGTGAGGCCGCAGTGGGTTCGCACAGGCGACACGCGTGGAATCCTGCCTAGCCCCCTGCATGCTATGTCACCATTAGCTATTCTTAGTTTTAGCATTATTAATGGATGTGGCCTCAGTCTCTCTGTAAAATGACAGTTGGGCTCAGTGATATCTAAGCTCCCTTCCAGCCCTAACCTTTCACGAAGATGCTTCCTGCTGTCACAACATGAGGATGCCGGTTCACGCAGGAGCCGACTGAGCACCTGTTATGCGCCCAGCCTTTGCCTTCGGGCAGGTCCCACTGCGGGGTCCCACCACATTTGATGACTGTGAAAGGGACTTCACGTCCTTCCCCTCTGTGGCCTCAGTCTCCATCCGAGACTGAAATGAGAAACTTCTAAGGTCTTCTCCAGCTGGGATGGTTGGATTCTTGGAGGGTGAGGCCTGAGATCCAGGCATATGTTCAGTGTGGGCCTCCTGTGCATGTGTGCACCTCACTTCTGAGCGGGAGTGGAGTATTTATCATCACATTCTGTCCTCTCTCTACCGGGCCCTTGGCCCGCCAGCAGATCTGGCTGTCGCCTGTCCCAGCTCATCCACAAACACATGCCACTCGAGACCCCAGCCTCATATGCTGCCTGTTCCACCGACAGCCACAGACAGCTGCTGCTCCCCAAAGCTGCTTATGTTTGCCTTTAAGGAGGGGAGGGCAGGGTCCTGTGGCCTAACATGAGCTCAGGAAAAAGGGCACCAGCATCAGCACCTCCTGGCGGGGAGAGCAGCTCATGCACGCGTCCCGGGAAGGCCTGAGCTGCAAGGCTGGAAAGAAACTAGGCTGGGTTAGGGGAAATTAATGTTGGGGCAAGGGTTGGGTGGAGGTTTTATTTAACCTGGAAATACAACCTCAGCACAGAAAGAGTAACAGAGAGCTGGGTGCGGTGGCTCACACTTGTAATCCCAGCACTTTGGGAGGCCGAGGCAGGCGGATCGCCTGAGGTCAGGAGTTCGAGACCATCCTGGCCAACATGGTGAAACCCCATCTCTACTAAAAATACAAAAATTAGCTGGGTGTCGTGGTGCATGCCTATAATCCCAGCTACTCAGGGGGCTGAGGCAGGAGAATCGCTTGAAGCCAGGAGGTGAAGGTTGCAGTGAGCCAAGATCACGCTGTTGAACTCGGCCTGGGTGACAAGAGCAAGACTGTCTTTAAAAAAAAAAAAAGTAACAGAGAGACTGGATCAGCATGGATTTGTGGGGGCTGAAAGCTGAGTGAAACCTCCTTTCCTAACCCTTGCACAGGGAGGTCAGGGAATGAGGGGCCCTTTATTCTGTCCATCCTTGACGGGCCAAAGGAAGCTTCTGCTCTGTTTCAAAGTTAGTCACCAAGCAGCTTTCTCTCTTCACTTTGCTGCCTTCCTTACAGTTCAGCAGGAATCGAGGACCCAGGAGAGGACCTATGGTACCAGGCCTGGTGTCAGGTGAGTGATGCTTGCCTTGCCTTTAGCATCTACCTGTGATATATTTCTGCAGCAAGGGGAATATTCCAGGCAATTCAGTGGGGCCTGAGAGCCATGGGCAGGAGAGGGAGCACTAGGAGGCAACCCTCTCACCTGCTGAGCCTCGGTTTCTCCTTCTTTCCGCTCTGTACCCCGACAGAGCCATAATGGGGAACAAAGGAGTCAATGGGTTAAAAGGGCTTCATAAACTACAAAGTATCATTTGTTCATTCATTTACTCATTCATTCATTCCACAAACATGTTGACGCCCTTAGTGATGTGGGAGGGGATTCAGAGTTGCATAACACAGCTCTGAGCAGCCCCCCACCCACCCACCCACCCATGGGGATCCTGAGGGGAAACTAGAGGGCTCTATGGGAGCAACTGGCTGAGAGGCTCACCTGGTGGTTCTAATCAGGGAGCTGTCATCTCTGAACAGGAGACAGTACTCAGCACAGCACCAGCTGGAGACTCACCCTCCTCCTTCCCCAGTGCAGCTGAGCCTGGGTTTTTCCAGACACAGGTTTCCCCAGCAATTAGAAAGCCCTAATGGCTGCTCAAAGGGTTCCCTCTGCTTCTGACTCCCGCCCGACAGGCCAAGCCATGGCAACGTGACTGCCTGGCCAAACTCTTCAAATACAAAATTAAAACCATCTACTCTGTAATAAAGAATTGCATCCAGTTACTATAGTAACTGGGTTCACTCTGGGCAGGAATGGAAGCAACGAGTAACAGATTCCTTTGATTGCCTGATGAGGAGCGGCACTGTAAGCTGTCAGAACGAAGTGGAGAACGCGATGGCAGCTCTGCCCAGTGCGACAGAAGGGTGCTGGTCCCCAGGGGGGTGTCCCCAGCTGCCTCTCAGGCACCTAGCCCAGCCTCGGTTGCAGCTTGCTGGTACAGGGAAGGTGGGGGCCACACGGGGTAGTGGAGCTGGAGGTGGGAGAGCTAGCTTGAAGTCTCCCACATCCAGCTGTTAGCCATGTGATCTTAAGCCATTCCATGACGGCTCCGAGCTTGTTTCCACATCTCCAACAGGGGAATATTGACCTTGGCCCTGCCTGCCTCGTGGGGTTAGTGTTAGGATCCAGTAATGCAGATAAAAAGTTGGACAGTGCCTCACTAACTACTCTAAAAATATGAGGGGTTAAGACGGCTGGCCTGGAGGACACGCATAAACAGTGTGTATAAAGAGGGGGTGTTTTGAGTAGGGGGTAGGGGGAGAGTTTTCAGGTTGCAGATTAAAAGCCTCTGCTAGACAGGGTTTTATGCATCTGAAGGGTGGGACATGTTCCAGAAGACCCCATTGCTGTCCTGTGTGAGGGCACTCTATGTTTTCTCCCTTCTGACCCCTGGAATCCCTCGCTCCCTCCCGGTTCAGAGCAGGTGGCAGATCCCCACCCTGCTGTTTCCTCAATGCATTCCGTTCATTCCTAACAAAGCACAATCCCAATTATTATTGATTTGCATTTGTGAGGTTTCTGCTGTCTCTCCCCTTAAACGTGGTTCCCAACCTACTCACATCGCACATTGGAATGACTTGGGGAACTTGTTCAAAAATACCCTTGCCCAGGCCCACCCCAGACCAAGTCAATCAGAATCTCTGGGGGTGGAGCCCTGACCATGGGGTTTTTCTTAAGACTCCCCAGTGAGTCTAAAGTGTCACCAGGTTGGGCATCCCCCCACCCCCACCCCCAGTCACAGTTGGAGCTCCAAAGAGACAAGGGCTGTGTCTTCCCTGTTCCATGTGGCATCTCCAGAGCCTAGCCCAGGTCTTAGCACTTAGTAGGTGTTCAATAAATCTTTGTTTAGTGAATTAATAACTCCCACTTACTGTCTGCC